TGAAGACACCTTTTCTGTAGCCTCTAGTGGAAAAAAGACATCATACATAAATTACAGTACAAAGGGCTTTATTTTATGAGCCCATACAAACAGGTTTCATGTTGCTGGGAAACAGAAAGATAAATAGTTTCCTGATTGAACAATTTAACCAAATCATTTTTTTTTTACAGTCAACCAGATCTCAATCAAAACATACAAGATGCACAATGGCTGTAAATACTTGTTCTTTATTTGCCATCTGTAAAAAAAAAAATAGGTTGAACTTCAAGTAAATGGAGTTAGTGACTTAGCAACAGGACCATTTAAAATTACAGTAAACCAGGCTTGACTGTTATGACTTGAACTCTGGTCAAAATTTACAATAGTCTGTTTTATTACATTTTAGCCTTTTATTACATAGCAGAGTGTATATGTGCTTAAGGGTATAGTTAACAGCGAGATTTAGTGAGATTCACTTTATAATGTCTCTCTGATTCAGCTCTCATAATCAGTATACATGTTAAATAATGAAAATGCAGTTGTCCTTTACAGTTTTAATAGGTTTTCTTTTTCAGCTCTTTCATACTATAACCTTGTAATCTAGAAATAAAAGGATTTTCAATGCAATACAGGTATTCCAGGTAAAATACTGGTAAAACTGTTGATATCAGTCCTGAATTAATGAATTTTAATTCAGATGTTCTCGCAGTGACCCAGTTGGACCTGGGTGATACTAGATTGGTGTGTGCTACATTTCAGAAAAGGGTAAATTGCATTAAGGCACTCTAGATTAATAAAACACCAGATGACAACACACTTTAAGAGTTTTTATGTGACTGTAAACTTTTATGACAATGATTCAGTCTGACCTACCATTTGTCACAAAATGTTGCATGGTGTCAGGCTATTTGAGTAGTGATGATGTTTGTGTGTATTCACTTCTTCAGTAGGCTATACTGTACAATTTGTCATGTGAATTTTGACAAAAGAACAGTATTAGTAATGTTATACATCAATATATCTTATGACATGGTAATTATTTAAGAGCAGCCTTTGTTCATTTGCTTATCAAGGGTTTGGTGTCAAAGGTCCCAAAATTAATCAGTGGGTTTAAAAATACAAAATCTTGTCATCAGAAGTCTGACTCTGGGTACATGACGTGCTATCAGTGCAGTGATGACATGGGCCGTTAAAGGTGCAATAGGTGATTGTCTTCAGAAAAATGTTTTGTTAATGCTGGTTGAAAGTGTCTTCACATCACGATAGCAGTGAATGACACATGATATAGCCCAGAGGTTCCCAATTCCAGTCCTCGAGCAAGGGAAGCAGGGGACATCCGTTGAAGTTTACTTAACTTCGGAACATTCATTCACGGATTTGCGCTGCGCAGTGTCTTCACACACAGAAACTAGCGCGGTAAAGTTAGTTTTAGGTTTGATATTCGCTGGATATTCACCTAGGCTGCTTTAGGGACCGTCTGCAAATTTACCTCGGTACAAAACGAAGTCCAATAATTAATAATAAATTAGGTTTACAATGCCATAGTAAATGCCTTGTGGGCAAACTGTAGACTGACTTACTACACATGAAATTTTGCCAATATCTTCCTTATTGTACATGCAGTACATAATTAATCTTAGAAAAAATGTCACCTGTAGTAAGTCATTCTGGCCACTAGGAATGTACTACAGTCTTTGGAACATGAAAAAACCCTTTTGGTGAATTACAGTAATTGTATTTAAGAATAATTATGTACTGTATTTACAGTAAGGAAGATATTGGCAACATCTCACATGTAGTAAGTCCGTCTCGTAACTACAAATGTACTACAGCCTTTGGAACAGGAAAAAACCCTTTTGGTCATTTACAGTAATGGTTTTTGAAGATTAATTATGTACAGTAAGGATTATATTGGCAAACTTTCACCTGTAGTAATTCAGTCTGGCCACTGGGAATGTACTACTGCCTTTGGAACATAAAAAAACAATTTGGTGAATTACAGTAATTGTTTTCTACGAATAATTATGTACTGTACACACAGTAAGAAAGAAATTGGCAAAATTTCACCTGTAGTAAATCAGACTTGTAACTACAAACATAATTATTCTTAGAAAATAATTATATTTTATTATATTTATAATTGTAATTCACCATAAGGGTTTTGTTTCAAAGGCTGTAGTACGTTTGTAGTTACAAGACTGACTTACTACAGGTGAAAGTTTGCCATTAGTTTTACATAACTAATCTTAGAAAAAAATACAGTAATTCACCAAAAGGGTTTTTTCATGTTCCAAAGGCTGTAGTATGTTTGTAGTTACAAGACTGACTTACTAAAGGTGGGATTTTGCCTATATCTCCCTTACTGTAAGTACAGTACATAATTATTCTTAGAAAACAAAAGGGTTTGTTCATGTTCCAAAGGCTGTAGTACGTTTGTAGTTACAAGACTGATTTACTACAGGTGACATTTTGCCAATTTCTTTCTTACTGTACGTACAATACAGAATTATTCTTAGAAAACAATGACTGTAATTCACCAAAAGGGTTTTTTCATGTTCCAGAGGCTGTAGTGCATTTGTAGTTACAAGACTGACTTACTACAGGTGAAATTTTGCCAATTTCTTTCTTACTGTACGTACAGTACATAATTATTATTAAAAGATTATTCTTAAAAATAATTACTGTAATTCACCAAAAGGGTTTTTTCATGTTCCAAATGCTGTAGTACATTTGTAGTTACAAGACTGACTTACTACCGGTGAAAGTTTGCCAATATCACCCTTACTGTACATACAGTACATAATTATTCTTAGAAAACAATTACTATAATTGCCCAAAAGGGTTTTTTCATGTTCCAAAGGCTGTAGTACATTTGTAGTTATGAGACTGACTTACTACAGGTAAGATTTTGCCAATATCCAAGATATTTATATCAAAGATATTTTCTAAGAACAATTATGTACAGAACGTACAGTAAGAAATAAATTGGCAATATTTCACCAGTAGTAAATCTGTCTTGTAACTACAAACATACTACAGCCTTTGGAATACAAAAAAAACATTTTGGTGAATTACAGTAATTGTTTTTTAAGAATAATTATGTACTGTATGTACAGTAAGGGAATTATTCTTAGAAAACAATTACTATAATTGCCCAAAAGGGTTTTTTCATGTTCCAAAGGCTGTAGTACATTTGTAGTTATGAGACTGACTTACTACAGGTAAGATTTTGCCAATATCCAAGATATTTATATCAAAGATATTTTCTAAGAACAATTATGTACAGAACGTACAGTAAGAAATAAATTGGCAATATTTCACCAGTAGTAAATCTGTCTTGTAACTACAAACATACTACAGCCTTTGGAATACAAAAAAAACATTTTGGTGAATTACAGTAATTGTTTTTTAAGAATAATTATGTACTGTATGTACAGTAAGGGAGATTTTTGGCAAAATTTCACCTGTAATAAGTCCGTCTCGTAACTACAAATGTACTACAGCCATTGGACATGAAATAACCCTTTTGGTCAGTTACAGTAATGGTTTTTGAAGATTAATTATGTACTTAATGTACAGTAAGGATTATATTGGCAAACTTTCACCTGTAGTAAGTCAGTATGGCCACTACAAATGGATTACAGCCTTTGGAACATGAAAAACTTTTTTGGTGAATTTTAGTACTGTTTTCTAAGAATAACTAAGTACTGTATGTACAGTAAGAGAGATATTGGCAAAATGTAATGTGTAGCAAGTCAGTCTTGCATCTAGGAATGTACTACAACCTTTGGAGTGCGGGAAAAAAATTGGTAAATTGCTATAATTTTGTTATAAAATATTTGTGTACTGTACATACAGTAAAGGAGGTATTGGTAAAATTTCACCTATAGTAAGTTAGTATTGTAACTAGGAATGTACTATGACATTTGAAACGTTAATAAAAACACTTCTGGTGAATTACAGTAATTGTTTTCTAAGAATAATTATGTACTGTATGTATAGTAAGGGAGATATCGGCAAAATCTCACCTGTAGTAAGTCAGTCTGGACACTAGGAATGTACTACCACCTTGAACTGCCGTTTGGGTACTTACAGTAGTTTTTTATGAACATAATTGTGTACTGTACTGCATATGTGAAGGAAGGTATTGGCAAAATCCCACCTGTAGTAAATCACTATGAGTTATACACGCTTTACAGTTTGGCAATATTTTATTTTAAATGTTAAAAGTCACTTTAGTTCAAATACATTTACGTTTTAAACCCAATCTGTGGAATTGTCAGATGGTCCCTTACGCATCAAGCGCCACTATAGCACATCAAAGCTTTCTCCAGTTTAAATTTGCTGCTACAATACACTTAGGCAGTTTTTAAATAATATTTTCATGTCGATATAAAGTTGTTGCATATTGTTAAAACTAATCGTGGTAGTGGTATCTTTGTAGAACTGTCGTCGACTCTATAGAACAGTGGCACGCGAAAGCGAATGTCTGGCGAATATCGCACCTAAAACTAACTTTACCGTGCTGACGAAACTTACTTGTGAAGTGTGACATAATATACCTCTGTAAATAAATACTATTTAAATTCACGTCTTGCACACTTTAATGCCCTTTGTATGGAACATATACGCTCGCTTCGAACTGGAATTTTCCAAGATCTCCTACTGCACCTTTAATTAAGTGAAGAACTTAACTGACTTCTGAACATAAAAGTTAAATTGATATTCATATCGTTTGTCCACTTAAATAGGCTACGTGTTGCATATGTCTTTGGAATTTATAGGCTGAGCACAATAAGGAACTATTCCAAATAATTCTTATAAGTCAATTATGTATTGTTTACGCTGATTTAAACCCCATGCGCAGCATATTCAAGTGTAATTAAGCGTATTTAAATATTAATATTTAAACATCTTCGGTCAACAAACTTCCCTGTAGTTCACCTGCATTACCCTTCCGGGAGGCGTGACTTTACAGTAGACGTCAATGTCATTATTTATCTTTAGCGCTCCCCCTGATCGCAGGATTTAAACTGGTCTACCTAACACCTTCTAATCACTGAACAGAGAGCAGTGCTAGACAAACAGTCACCAGAGGATCTGTTTTTTTTTTCTTTTTTTCTGTCTCTCTCTCTTTACGGTGCCTGTTTCTTACAATAAGTAGCCTACTGCACTGCTATTCGGACTACAATTTGAAAATGAATATACCACTAAAGACCATTCTGATCTTCTGCTTAGTGGCTGCAACGACTGCAACATGTGAGTGTATTTCTTAGAGAAATTTGGATGGGATGTCATATTTAGCGGGGGAAAAAATTTCCTTGGTTGGTCGTTGTAGACTATTTTTATGGACATATATATTATTGGATTCTTAAATCGTGATTGCAAATTGGCTTACACTTATGTTTTAAAAGATTGTTATTGCTATAAACTCTGTTGTCATGTTGGTAGTAATGTTTTGTAATTCGGACACAAGTTTTCAGAACCCTTGACTACTTGGCTTAACATACTTGGCTTAGACCTAACTTTATAATTACTTAATTATTCATTATTTTGTGTGTTAACGTAGAAGATTTGTAATTTATTTAAATGATTTTGAATAATGCTTATGTCTTAAACTTTAGTTCATTAAATATTAAAATAGTGACATTCTTAATGACCTACCATATTTAAGAATCATTTATTAGGTCCTCTAAAAGAATATCAAAAATAATGAACAGTTATGGATTGTTTGATGTTTTGTAGAACTTTTTGTCACCGAGTAATGAATAATCCTAAATCAACACTTGAATTTTCTGTTATTTATCTGCAGACAGGCTGGCCAGTTGAGTTAACCATTTATTTGAGATTTTAATCAGTGTGCCTTAAAATTAAATTTTTAAAGGGATAGTTCACCCAAACAGTCATTGTTACTTAGAAGAGCTCAAGTTGGTAAGCAACTATGGGCAACCTCATATTTTATATAATGACCTTATATTTGCTCATATTTTTTGTGTTTTATTTATTGTTTTGTACTCAATTTTAGGTGTGGAAAAACAATATTACTTAAATTCTTTACATATGTACTTTACATGAATGCTCTTTTTGCTAGGCATATTCTATTACTGATTAATTTGGAGTAGTTAACCTTGAGCTGGCACTTCCTTGTAGATGGGAAATTGGCATGTGAACTTTGTTATTTTCATCATGAGGTGTCTGAGTAACTGTTGAAATTTGATTGCTTACAAAGTCCATACCATTTTTATTGGATTTTCAAAGATTATTTTCCACTGATATGAGTAGATAAGGTATGATTAAGGCCCCCAAATAGATAACTTATTTGATTCAAATAGACTTCAAGACAAAGCAGTTTTTCCAGGAAGCAAACAATGAAAAACAAACAACTACATACTTTTTATTTCCTTTTGCCTTTTTCTTCATATCTTCAAGTGACATTTATGATAACTTGCACATAGTCACATATACAGTGGCCTCAAAACATATTTGTAAGCTTAAGTCATACAAAATGTTATATTATTACGTTAATCTGTTAACTATGGGCATTAACATTTGACAACCAGACATTGTCGACATACTTTTGTTTTAATTTTGACAATATATTTATAATTTGATGCATAATAAATTTGTTTTATTTTTTAATTATTTTGCTTGAAATCGGTGTATGTTAAATTTCTTTAAAATAAATGCCTCTTATTTTGATATTTTATGATTCTAATGTGAAGCCATTCATCTTAAATGTTTGAAATATTTTTGGAGACACTGCACACATTTTATCTAATCACATCTTTATTTGGTTGTTTTACGTACCACAGCAGAAGGTTGTTTGTCACTTAGACATGTTTATTCAAAGTAACTTTCAGTAATTGTGTTAGTTAGTAACATTCATAGTGCAACCTTGGGCTGGGTGCCTTGGTGAATACTATAATAACGCTAAAGTTCATGTTTTTCCCCCTCATTCAATATTATGTTGGCAATTCAGATTATCTAACATTAAGAATCAGCTGAATCTGTCTGTCAACTACACATATGATCGGCTGAATCTGGTCTGTCAAATACACATAATATCATATAATGGTTTTATGGAAAACATCGGGGTAGTTTCATCATGCAGAATGGACTATGCGATTAAGAGAAAACAAAGAAGAGTAGAGAAAAGCATAGTGTAATTCTAATGTGTCACTGTTTCCAGGTAACATATTTCATGTTTTTCCTCCCATGTCTTGTTCACCATATCATATGGTCTTTCTGATGCCTTCCTTTAACATAAAAATCTCCCACCACAGCTACTACAGATGCAACAAGCAGTTTCACAGCTGAGAGCACAGAAACTCCTGCCAGCACAACTGATGCCATCACAGTCACCACAAAAGGTATTCTCATCTCCATAATCAGGAACCCCACCATCAGGCCTAAAGGCTACATAGTAACTTTTAATCACAAGAAGAAATTGTCCTTAAACTCATAGTTCACACACACACACACACACACAAAAAGTATTTACTATTCTGTTGATTATTTAAATTGCCTTGACATTTTCTGCTACAGTGTCCTTGTTGCTGTTTGATAACAGCAGGCTGATTTTGTTTTCTGAATCCAGTGCTGGTCTATAAAGTGCTGCAGTGATGGCGTATTTTTGCAAGCCAATCGAAAGTTAGCAGCACCCTGGTTCCCTTGACAAAAAGTTTATGATTCTTACATGTTTTATTCATCATGATAATCCTCACAAATAAACCCAACTTTTATTAATTTTGAATCCCAGTCAGAAGTAATACGCTAAATGTAGGAAAGAAATTAGCTACACTACGGTTGCATGATTTCAACATTACCATTATTAAGCTTCTGACAACTTTTTCATTCTTCATTTAAAAAAGCATTATCCCTGAAAGCTTACAGTAGAATTGTTTGCAAGAGTGTGATTATAAACACAGTAAGGCTGTAGACTAGAAAGTAGCTGAGTTTATTTATTTTTTCATTTTGACATTTAATGTCCCCAAAAACCTCTGTAGCCCCATTTAAGGACTTGTTATCAACTGTCTTTTTCAAGACAAGTAAAAGCTTTTAAAAAAATCACAAGGGGGTTTTACTGATGTAGTGCATGTCATAGAATAAAACATGAAAATACCTTGAGCTTGTGTTAACCATAATGTAATTTGTTACATGTCTCTCTTGACCACTCAATTCTGATTCATCAGTCGTGCCATTCAAAGGTCTAGTATTTCCTATATTCACAGCTGCTGATGGTAACAGCGTTGTCTTTTTTTATTATTTGTATTTCAGGTAAAAGCTGTCTTTGCAGTATTTAGGGTAATGAAAAGGGATGGGGTTTTGTTTAAAACAAATAATCTGCTGTAGAATGTTTTTTTTCCTTGTATTAGACACAACAACATAAAGTTATAATGTGATATATTCCATTTTACATACGTAAAATACATGTAAGACTTCTTCCCCCATGATTAACATCATTGTATCTTCAAAAAAAGATTTCCTTGGCTATAAAATCCAGCATTTTTGATGTCACTGGAGCTTCAAAAAAGAAAGCTTTCCTTGGATATAAAACACAAAATAAGATACAAATATATAATGGTCATTGTTGTTTTGAAGAGCTCAAGTTGGTAAGCAACTTGGGCTGGGTGCCTTACTGAAGAGGATAGTAACTCAACAGTTCATGGTTTTTCCCCTCATTCAATTTTGTGTTGAAACTTCAGACTTTCTAACATTAAGAAACATTCAGAGCACGATCTGATGAATCTTTCTGATTTCTAATTATTATTATAATTAAATTATTAAATTAAATTAATTAAATTATTCTTTCTGTCAAATATACATAATATCATATAATGGTTTTATGGAAAACATGGGGTATTTTCATCACATAGAATGGACTATTCGATTAAAAGAAAACAAATAAGTGGTGTTTGGTATTTTGTGTGTGGATTTGGCAGTGGGAACTTTCCCAGCTGTAATAGAAGAGTAGAAAAAGTAGAGTGTAATGCTAAAGTGTCTCTGTTTCCAGGTAACATATTTCATGTTTTTCCTCCCATGTCTTGCTCACCATATATCATATGGTCTTTCTGATACCTTCCTTTAACATAAAAATCTCCCACCACAGCTACTACAGATGTAACAAGCAGTTTCACTGCTGAGAGCACAGATACTCCTGCCAGCACAACTGATGCCATCACAGTCACCACAAAAGGTATTCTCATCTCCATAATCAGGAACCCCACCATCAGGCCTAAAGGCTACATAGTAACTTTTAATCATAAGAAGTTGTCCTTAAAGGCATAGTTCCAGCAAAATATAATACATTTTGTCTTTATTTACTAATGTGTTGTTGTTTTAAATTGCCTTGGCATTTTCTCCTACAATGTAGCCTACTTGTTACTGTTTGATAACAGCAAGCTGATTTTGTTTTCTGAATACAATGCTAGAGAGAGATATAGAGTGCTGCAGTGATGACATTTTTTGTAGGCCAACCCGCAAGTTATCATCACCCTGGTTCCTTTGACAAAAAAAAGTTTATGATCCTTATGTTTCATTCAGCATAATCCTCACAAATAAACCCAACTTTTTATTAATTTTGAATCCTAAATACAGGTGCATCTCAATAAATTAGAATGTCATGGAAAAGTTCATTTATTCCAGTAATTCAACTAAAATTGTGAAACTCGTATATTAAATAAATTCAATGCACACAGACTGAAGTAGTTTAAGTCTTTGGTTCTTTTAATTGTGATGATTTTGGCTCACATTTAACAAAAATCCACCAATTCACTATCTCAACAAATTAGAATACTTCATAAGACCAATAAAAACATTTTTAGTGAATTGTTGGCCTTCTGGAAAGTATGTTCATTTACTGTATAAGTACTCAATACTTGGTAGGGGCTCCTTTTGCTTTAAATACTGCCTCAATTCGGCGTGGCATGGAGGTGATCAGTTTGTGGCACTGCTGAGGTGGTATGGAAGCCCAGGTTTCTTTGACAGTGGCCTTCAGCTCATCTGCATTTTTGGTCTCTTGTTTCTCACTTTCCTCTTGACAATACCCCATAGATTCTCTATGGGGTTCAGGTCTGGTGAGTTTGCTGGCCAGTCAAGCACACCAACACCATGGTCATTTAACCAACTTTTGGTGCTTTTGGCAGTGTGGGCAGGTGCCAAATCCTGCTGGAAAATTAAATCAGCAACTTCAAAAAGCTGGTCAGCAGAAGGAAGCATGAAGTGCTCCAAAATTTCTTGGTAAACGGGAGCAGTGACGTTGGTTTTCATAAAACACAATGGACCAACACCAGCAAATGACATTGCACCCCAAATCATCACAGACTGTGGAAACTTAACACTGGACTTCAAGCAACTTGGGCTATGAGCTTCTCCACCCTTCCTCCAGAATCTAGTGTAGCCTAGTGAACCAAACTGAGAGACCATTTTGAAGGCTCAGGAAACCTTTGCAGGTGTTTTGAGTTGATTAGCTGATTGGCATGTCACCATATTCTAATTTGTTGAGATAGTGAATTGGTGGGTTTTCGTTAAATGTGAGCCAAAATCATCACAATTAAAAGAACCAAAGACTTAAACTACTTCAGTCTGTGTGCATTGAATTGATTTAATTCACGAGTTTCAAAATTTGAGTTGAATTACTGAAATAAATGAACTTTTCCACGACATTCTAATTTATTGAGATGCACCTGTACAATCAGAAGTAATAAGCTAAACATAGGCTAGAAATGAACTACACCACAGTTGCATGACTTTATTACCATTAAGCTTCTGACATCTCTTTCAGTCTTGATTTAAAAAAAAATGTTTTCAAGAAAAGTAAAAGCTTTAAAAAAAATCACAGGGGGGAATTACTGATGTATTATATGTCATAGAATAATACATGAAAATACTTTGAGCCTGTGTTAACCACAGACCTTGTATTGGGAATTTAACTAAAATGGACGATGGAAGCAGTGCTAAAAATGTAAAAAAAAAAATAAAAAAAAAAGTGCTTGTGTATATGTAATATGTAATATAAGTCTCTGGTGTCCCCAGAATGTGTCTGTGACGTTTCAGCTCAAAATACCGCACCGATATTATATATATTTTGAGTAGAAGCAGAAACACGCTGTTTTTCGTGCCTGTCTTTTTAAATGCAAATATGTTGCTGCTCCCCGCTCCTTTTTCCGGAATAGAGCTGCGGCTGCTCCATTACAGCTCGGACCTGCTAAAAACATCTGTTTTGGTTCTGATTATCATGTTTATTGCTCTGAAATCATGCGTTTTAAACCATATTAGTTTAAACTTCTGATATACGGTTTTCTGAGTGCACACAGTTGGTTATGTCTGTGGAAAGATTTCAGCATGGAAAGAAATTGCATGTTTATATTAGATCTGTGTGGCAACAGCTTAATATACAGTAAATAAATCAATAAATCATCTGCTCTGTTGTCTCCTCTGAGGCTGGGACTCTAAATAGTGTTCTGTTTTCTTCTGTGCAGCCAAAGACAGAACAGTTAGCGTGTTTTGCTCAAACCTTCGCCATGGCATTAGAACTGGTACACCGTTGTCACTTGCAAAATCAAAATGGTGGCACCGTGGGTGGAAACGTACAGATTAAGGGGCGGTAATATTATAATGTGATCCCTTTGCGACATCACTAGGGAAGCGAAATCAGACTTGCTCGTTTTTTCAGACACTTGCAGAAAAAGGCTTACCAAAACAAAGTTACTGGGTTAATCTTTTTCACGTTTATTTGGTTGGTAGATGCACTGGGGACCTGATTGATTATAGCACTTAAAACCTGGAAAAGTCGGATTTTCATGATACAGTGGGTACGGAAAGTATTCAGACCCCCTTAAATTTTTCACTCTTTGTTATATTGCAGCCATTTGCTAAAATCATTTAAGTTAATTTTTTTTCCTCATTAATGTACACACAGCACCCCATATTGACGGAAAAGCACAGAATTGTTGACATTTTTGCAGATTTATTAAATAAAAACTGAAATATCACATGGTCCTAAGTATTCAAACCCTTTGCTCAGTATTTAGTAGAAGCACCCTTTTGATCTAATACAGCCATGAGTCCTTGCAGATCCTCTCCAGTTCTGTCAGGTTGGATGGTAAACGTTGGTGGACATTCATAATAAAACGTGCTTCACACAGCTCCGGGGGGTGAATAAAGGCCTTCTGTAGTGAATCCATGCGTTTTTGTAAGAAAAATATCCATATTTCAAACGTAATAAACACTTTTATATCACTTCCGCCAACTGTCATACGTGGAAGCCATTCCGGCGGATGACCTAGCACGTCGGCATTGCGTGATAAGTGACGAACGCGGAGAGACAACAAAACAAAACGCCGGTCACGAATTAGAAGTACAAACCGAAGATTTGCAAAATAAAAATGGCGGAGGATTTCGATATAAGCCAAGAGGAGACTGGTTTTCCTTTGCTAAAGTAAAGAAACTTTACTTCCTTTGCTCCTATAAACAAACTCGTTTTATTTGACGACTTGTAGACACCCGCTGCAACACCCGCTGACTGCAATGATAGACCTTGGAATAGCCAGGACAATTTTTTATATAACTCCGACTGGATTCGTCTGAAAGAAGAAAGTCATGTACACCTAGGATGCTTTGAGGGTGAGTAAAACACAAGCCAATTTTCATTTTTGGGTGAACTAACCCTTTAACCAGGGTTCAAAGTCCAAAGCGCAAGGAAAATCTGTGCTGAACCAGTGTTACTCGTCTGTTGCTCAGTCACATTTTTAATGAATTTTTACAAGGCATGTGACAATGCAATACGTGCAACATATTAGTAATGAGACTCATTTATAAATCTGTTGTCAACAAAAAGAAGCATTGAGTTCTTCCTGTGCGTTTCTGCCAAAATAAAAGTTGAGAAAAAGCAAGAACTCCATCAACATTTATAAACGTTATTATTGTAATTTTACTGTTGTTCTGTAAAATAAAATAAAAAGTAAGATAATAATAATGATAATAATAATTACAACAGCTCTATTAATACATTTATTATAACATTCACACATTGTGTTCAAATTGGGATCTGTAATATTTTCTAATGTTTTATAAAAAAGTTTCTTCTGCTCAGCAAGGCTGCTTTCATTTAAAAAATGCATGCCTTATTCAAGAAGGGGGTCTGAAGGCCAAAAAATATTATTTTACTAACTTATTCATTTTGTTAAATTGTGCTTTGTTGGTAAAATGTCTGCTAGAATGTAAAAAAATGTTCAGTGTTAAATATTTTTTAAATTATTGTTGTGTAATTGATTTTTTTCTTTGAAAAACAAGACAAAAATTGTAAAAAGCACATTTTGGCTATTTATTTTATGCAATGGTGAAAAAAATTGGCAAAATACGTGGGGGAAAAAAACTAGAAAAAATGTGTTCGGTATTCAGCCTTCAGCCCAGTCTTTCATTTTGTTCAGTTTCGGCTTCGGCCAAGAATTTTCATTTCGGTGCATCCCTAGTCTATAGTGTTTCTTATTATCCACAGCCACTGATGGAAACAGCATAGTCTGCTCATTAATATAACTGTATAACACTGCAGAATGCAGACTCGCTCTTTCATACAATTGCAACTTAAGTTATATTGTTATAGTGTTCATCTTGTAGGCAGATTGTTTTGTACAATGTATTTGACTTTTTTTTCTTAGTGGCAGCTATAAGATAAAGTACAGGTAAAGGTATAAAATATTGTCAACTCAGATCAATATTTCTTCTACACATATTTATTTAATAGGTAGCTGTGTAATATTGAATAATGAAATTACAGTCAGGTCATTATCAGAAAAATGACCAGATTATCATTAAGAAGGTAATTTTCACAAAACAAACCCCTTCAGGGTGATATAAGACTGATCACCCTGTTGGAGTTTATTATGGTCTTTCTGCAACCTCCCCTTACATAAAACCGTTCCCGCAGCCCCTCAGGAAAGCACTATGACACAGGGTACTCTCACCTTTTTAATCCTAAATCCCACCAGCTTGCCTAAAGGCTACATAATAACATTTTTACTTAAGAAGTCATTCTCAAATGCATAGTTCATCCAAACAAAATTAATTCTGTTTTTCTGTACTATCGTGTTAATGGTTAAAATTATTTTCCATTTTTTATGCTGCGGTGTCCTTGTTTCTGTTTGATAAGTAAGAAACATAAACCTGATCTTCTTCTCTGAATCCAAAGCTGGTCTATTAGGTCTGCCATACAAACGTTATGTAATTTGTTACATGGCTCTCAGGATCACTCAATTCTGATTGTTCAGTTGCGGCATTCAGTATTCTGATATTTCTTCATTTTTGCTGTGTTCGGTGGCAATGCCATATGTCAGTCTGCACAGTCATGTAACTGAAAAAGTGCTACTTTCATTTGTCTCGTATAACACTCTGAACTCACGCTCTCTTATTTCATACAAATGCAAATTGTGCCATCCTGCATCTCAGTAATCAGTTGTAGTAAAAATTACTTGGAGGATTCAGTATTAATTTTACCAGGATTCTTGGAGGATTCAGAATTAACATTATTATTGTAGTAGTGATCATCTTTTTCTAGACCAATTGTTTTGTACAATGTAATTGACTTTTTTTTCTTAGAAGAAGCTTTAAGATAAAATACAGGTACAGGTATAAAATAATTTAAACTCAAATCATTATTTCTTGTCCACATATTTATTTGATAAGTAGCTGTGTAAAAAGTGGGATAATGTACCTACAGTCAAAAGGTCATTATCAGAAAACTAACCCATTCAGGGTAATATAAGACTGATCCTCCTGATGCAGTTTATTATGGTATTTCTGCAACCTCCCCTAACATAAAACCTTTCTCCACAGCTTCTGAGGAGACAAGTACTGGTACTTTTATCACAGAAACGACAACTGATTCTACAGATGATACTCCTGCCAGCACAACTGCTGCCACCCCAACCACTACGAAACAAAGTACTCACACCATCATAGTCTTAAATCCCACCTGCAGGCCCAAATGCTTCATAATAACATTAAATCATTAGAAGAAGACATCCATAATCCTGTCATAATTTACTCACTGTCCTTCCAATCTTGTATGACCTTCTTCTGTGAAACATAAAAGACGAAATTTTAACAATGTACTGGTCACTTGCAATTACAGTGGATGGGGACTGAAGCCTTTAAGCTTCAAAAAGGCAAAAAAATTTTTTATTAAAGTGTCATAAAGAGGCCCATATGACTATGTATGCTGTAATTTAAATAATTAAGTCAATGAGTTAAAACCAGGAGCTTAATCATACTGATCTGTGAACTAATCATTCAGAACAAAAATGTGAACTTGATCAATCGATGCATTTAAGACTTCCTTTTTTCTTTTTTTTTTACCAATCAGATATTGCTACACCATGAATTGCCAAAGGGTGAACTATAGGACAAATGTCAAGATTTTCAGTCGGTTTTATTTAGCTTCATGAAACTTGGAATATAGCACAAAAGTCATATGGACTACTTTTATGACACTAGTGCTTTGAGTCTTTTTTTAAGCTTGAAAACGTGGCAAATGATTGTCATTTTAGAATATATTGATTAAGTAATTTACAGAAAATAACCACTGCTGGAAAATATATTTTCTGGTTCACGCAGGTTAAAAATGGCATCATGTTTGTTCATTTTCAAGGTCCCTGTGATTCAAGTCCTTGTATTGGAGGCAGTACCTGTGAAGAACGATTTGGGGGCATCTTTGCTTGCATCTGCCAGCCTGGGCTTGTTTACTTGGAAATTAGAGGCTGTATTCAAAGTATGACTGGCTCAGTTTTGAATCATCAGAACATAAGTGTAGATGGGTGACACAATAATATGCTTAAAGGGTTAGTTCACCCAAAAATGAAAATTAGCCCATAAATTACTCACCCTCAAGTCATCCTAGGTGTATATGACTTTCTTCTTTCAGACGAATCCAGTCGGAGTTATATTAAAAATGGTCTTTGATCTTTCAAGCTGTTTCATGGCATTCAGCGGATGTTGCATGCATCTGTCCAAAAGCAGTTTAATAAAATGCGCTGATCCATTAAAAAAAAGTGTCTCACATGGCTCCGGGGGGTGAACAAAGGCCTTCTGTAGCGAATCGATGCGTTTTTGTAAGAAAAATATCCATATTCAAAACTTAATAATCACTTTAATGTAGCTTGTGCTCACTGTTGTACACTGGAAGCAATTCCGGGCGGATGACGTATGGAGGTCGGCTTTGCGCACTTTTTTTTTTTTGAGAGACTTTTTTTTATGGATGGGCGCATTTTATTTAACTGCTTTTAGACGAATGCATGCAACACCCGCTGAGTGGCATTAAACAGCTTGAAAGATCAAATAATTTTTTTTATATAACTCCGACTGGATTCGTCTGAAAGAAGAAAGTCATATACACCTAGGATGACTTGTGGGTGAGTAATGTATGGGCTAATTTTCATTTTTGGGTGAACTAACCCTTTAAATCAGACACTAAGTTGCCTTTGGTATATAAATTAAGTTTAATGTTTCATGTAACCTGGTGAATCTAACTGCCATTATCTGCTTTCCTGTGACTTGAGAATATCAATGAACATATTATTATTTTATATATATATATATATATATATATATATATATATATAATGTTTTTTTATATATATAATTGCAGCAAAGGTCTTCCCAGGTAGTTTATCTTTGAATAGGGTTTATAATGAAGATATGCATGACAAAACGTCTAAAGAGTTTCAACAGATAGCAGGGGAAATTGAGAAGCAGGTAAGAGACTGAATTTCCTTTTCGATTTGTGTAGACATTCAATCCTAACCAACACACTCTATAGCAGCATGTCTAGAAAGATTTTCCATTTTTACATAGTAAAGGATGAGTGATATAAATAAATGGTGGTGAATAAGTAACACATGATGTCAAACAGCATTGCTTTCTATATTCTTAATCCAAATACAGCTCAAAAACACCCTGGGTAATGACAATGGCTACATTAATTCCATCGTTTTGAGTCTAAGGTTAGTACCACTTGTTATAATAGCCTTTCCTTTAAACATTAACTTGTGAATGTAATAGCTTCTGAGACAGTTTTTAGTTTTCTTTTACTCTTTGTTGAATATAAATCACAAATAATAATTCACACTTTCAGTCTTAGCATTATGAGATAGAGTAGAACAGTTTTAATTTGGCCCCTAGCTAAAGGCTAATGAGTTTAAATATTTTAAGTGTTTGCTTCCCCACATGAATGATTTCATAAAAAATAAGTTGTTTTGCGTGTTTTTCATAATTTCTTTTTACAGAAAGGGCAGTATAATTGCAGAAGTGCAGAATTTCTATGACTTGTCATCCGATGCCACATCAGATTCAGTTGGAAAGAAGATTGGTGATGCAATTTCTGAAATTGAAGACGCCACTGATTATACACGTACATCTGAGGCTTCTTTTTACCAGTTTTTCTGCAATGATTTTGAACAATGTAACAATTTCAAGCATTAGAAAGAAGCATACATTAGTACATTTTAACTTATATACTCAATTCACAGGAGGCAGTATGTGCGATCTTGACATTTGTGACAGTACCACCACCGAAGTCTGTGAAGAACAAATGGCTATTGGTACTGTAAGGTGTACTTGCAAAAAAGGGTACATCAGGTCACAATTCACATCACTTTTCTGCCATCGTAAGTATATTTTTTGCTCCCTAGTATTTATGCTACTTCAAAACATTCAAACTGGTCCTCATAAATGTACTATTGTGCTCCCATCTTTTTATAGCTTGTCCGAATGGGGAAATGGCAGTGGGTGAAGACAGCTGTAAAAAGTATGCACTTGCATTATTTCTTTAAAGATTTTAATGAATACATTTTCTATATGAAAATGTAATTATTATTTCATAAACAATGAATGTTATCCCAGGGCCCACTAAGGCCCTCTATGGTATGGTATAACATACTCATTAAGCCCACTAATAAAAAACAATAAAAAAAAGTCTCATGCCCTGTGAATTGAAGTGATTGATCTGTAACATCTATATTAACTGGTTTTATTTAAGTAAAATATTATTAAATATGACTTAATGAACCTGAATACATAAGGTTACACACCAGTTTTTAAATTAGGCAGAAATAGCTCCTTAAGGATGTTCCCTGTATTTACATGTTACAGGGCAAAAACATATATGTAATGTCATATGTGTCATAATGAGAGTTGTGGTTCCATGGTATCACTGAGAGATGTTTTGATTATTTTAGGTGTTCTTTTGGTTTCGCTGGATTTAATTGCAATGATCGTAAGTCAGCTGTTCACCATCATCTGAATCAAGTTCATCTTCTCTGTTATACTACTTTTGAGGAACATTTATGCATCTCTGTGTAATGCAAATTCTCATTACAGCATATCTTTTGGTTGTGATCGTGGTGTCCACTGTGTTGGGTGCATTGCTTATCATCTTTATTGTGGCCCTGATAGTTGTAAGCTGCAGGTGAAAATCCACAACACATTTTCTAAGTCCATTTACACAAACATTCTATGGATTTAAAACACTCATTTTGTTTGCGTGCCCATTTACGATTGTAGGAATCAAAAGGGAAGCTCCTCATCCCAGGAAGATTTTAGCTCAAGCTATGGCAATAAGGAATTACATAAACCTACCGGAGTTCCCAGGATTCCTCGGGCCAACCCTGATGCTGGCTGGAAGTCTAACAATCTGGAGATGACCGATAGTGGGAGCAATCAGGCACTGGTGACCAGAGATCGCCCAGAGAGCAAAGCGGTAAGACCAGCACTACAACACTACTGTACTAGCTGGGCTTATTACAGGCAACATGAATTTTAGTGATGACCCTTGTTGAGCATTATCTATTATCCATATAACTATTTGATCAAAGTGATAAAATCACATTTATTAATAAAGCACCTCTAAGTATCTAAAAACATTATTTGTGTTTTTGTAGCGCTACACTGATTACGATGAGGACGTGAGTAATAGGGGTCAAGTTCCCCCAGAGTACTCCGGCTATGGTGGGAGAGGAGTGGAAAATGGTGGTGTCCACAACCCATACTTTCGGCAAGATGATGACAGAATGCGCAGATATTAACATCATTTAATCAGGAAAATCACTGCATTTGTATGATTTTTCTTTATCTTCATGTGGATTGAATTACATTTTTTATTTCTTTGTTGACCCAAATTTAAAGATTTTAATGGAAAAGTAGTTATTGCCTATTATATGAATCTTTCATTAACCATAGGAACAGAATTCAGATTTCCTTCATATTTACATTCTGTGGTTTTAGCAGCTAATGAAATTCGGTTTATGGGCTTCAATCTTGATCTAAGCTTTTGCTTTCCAAGTATTTGGACAAAATGTCGTTCCTCAACTGTTGAATGGAAGCTGTGTTGCAGAGGCCTTTGATTTGACAGTGACTCCTCCTGTTCTACATAATTTATTTTTCTTTTCCATCTTACAAACTTAAAATCATTTTGTTTTTCAGTTCCAACAAAAACATTTTTAAAACACACCCATGCTTCTAATGCAATAGTTGTTTAAGTCAGATATTTAAATGTTCATATTTATGACATTTGTTTAATGCTTGGGCTGGAAACTCAGGTCTACAAAATAAATCAAAACAAATCAATGTTTCTTTTGAGATATTCAAGCAGTGATGCGCCTTATTTATTCAGGAAGAGAAATTATGATTAACTGTCCTAACTGTAACTATGCCAATTGTATTTTATTACAAATGATTTTAAGAAATAATAATAAAAACAGTATATTTTTGTATTTAAATAACATGGAGTTAATAAAGCATTTGATTTTTAAATAATGCATTCAAAGGTATCTGCATGTTCTTTTGTTAGTGTATGACATTTTAAACAAATTACCCTGTCCCACTTTGCAAATATGTCTCAGATACAAGAAAATGTCTCAGATACATTTCTTGGGACACAAGAAAAAAAAGATGCTGTAGAAAATATTCTGATTTGAAATTGCTTTGCGTTTTCTGACAATTCACATCATAAATTCTGTAACTTATACCTCACTAGATTTATCACCAGATTGCTGTCATTATTTTAGATTTCTACATGATTTTCCCATAAATGGTTGTCAAATGAGCTCTGCCACAATCGTCAATGTGACATCAACTTAAGAACCCCCCAAAAAACGTTTATCTCCCAAAGATAAATGAGTGATATTTAACTATTTAACAAAATTCATATGGGTAAAATGTACAGTCTTCTTTGGCCTTAATTATCCTATAAGTTGAGAATACTATTTTACCCCCCAAAGATTACTTACAAATTGTATAATCAAAAAGCAAATATTATTTTAACACATCTCTGCAATGTATTCATAACATTGTATAGTGGAAAAATTTAATTTATATCCAAGAGTGCTGAAAAAGTGGTCCAAAATAAATTTAAATACACTGATTTTCAATACACAATACGTCTAGCCATATTACAGTTACAGTAGCAAAATAAAATCCAACACAAACCAAAAGGATTATTTGGTATTGACAAATTATAAATATATAGACATACAGTATATTCCATTTCTTAAACATTCATAAAAACGTTTTTTTTTTTTTTTGATGACTGTTTTCTTTTTCTTTTTTTCTGTAGCATTTGACACTGAACTTAAAATGCTTTCACTAATTCTGAGACATAGTTCATTTATGTGTCAGTCGGTACACTCCATTGGCTATGTTTCTGCAGGAGTTGCAATATATATATATATATATACAGTATATATATATATATATATATATATATATATATATATATATACAGAGGGGA